GGGTATCATTTTGTGATGTCCGTGCTCACGGTACTTCTAGTTTCTTTTGTGGCGTGAGGAAACACTCATATTTTGATTTATAAGCTAAATTTGAAGAATATAGATATTTAGAAATACATTGTTGGCTCTGGAAAAATATGGAATATTAATAACTATAGAAAAAAACTAGGGATGCCAAAATATTTTTTTTCCTCAGTCGATCATTCGATTGCATTATTTGAACGATAGTCGAATATTCGGAACATTTTCTGAAAATAAAATTTTATTTCAAACTTCATTGGTACATACTCAAAAACCTTTTTACTTAAATCTATTTAAAAAGTAACATCAAATTAATGCAACGTAACGCGTGGATAACATGATTCTATGAAATAAATTTAGAAACCTAATTCTACAAAATTTATTATTTCCCCGTCAATAGAATTCATAAATCGGTCTGTACATGCAGTCATTTTTTATTTAGCAAGCATTAAAAAATACCAGCCGATATTTATTTAAAGCTTATTATAAAATAAAATGGAGGGGGGGGGGCTATCAAAATGTCCTCAAACAGTTTAAAATGTAAGCGCATTGTTTTAATAATTATCGAAGTATCAAAACAGGTTTATTCCTTGCATTTGAGCAAACTGAAGATAACAAAGATAATTGGTATATGGTATAAGATCAAGTCCAATTAATAATTTTACAAACAAAGCCCATTATATTGGTTGGTAATTTATCACAAAAACAACACAGGCAGTTACTGACAATTAATTCTCGCAGTAGTGAAGCACTTATAATTGCTGTACTTTCTATACGTACATGGAAAATCTACCGTTTTTTGTTGAAGAAAATTATCGACTGTCTATGAGGAAAGACTCTTTCTCAATTTTTTGATGAGAATTCCATCTCATCTATCACTCATTTATTGCATTCATTTAGTTAAAATAATATTCGAATGTCGTTTCATTATTCGATCGTCGGTCCATTCTACTGATAGTCAAATAGTCGACCATTCGTTGACATCCCTAAAAAAAACTGTTCAAAGCGGCCTGGTCTGTTCCCAGCTGGCCGTGGTCTGCAACTAGAATTATGCATATCACATGTCGTTAAACATACATCACTCTTTTAATGTTTTTACTCGTATTTAAGAGGATATAGGTACATTCTCTTCTCTAGACTTCTCTAGACTTAATTTGAAGACTGGTCACTAATGCTAAGATTGAGTTAAATGTACCTCGTCACCACTAATGTTGACTTTAAACATTTTCCGTGCATAAACATCAACCAAAAAGGTCCCTTTAAATGGGCTTTTCTCTTTATATGTGATTTGTAGAAGAATTAATATTTAGAAAGGTTGCTTGATGACTACTTTAAATGTAGCTTTCGTGTTTCATCATATTTTTTCCACAGAAACCCCCCCCCCCCCCCCAATTATTTACTTGCAAAATAAAACACTTTGAAGAGATATTGTCAGAGATTTTGCATCTATATCAACATTGCATTGAATTTAGCTTTGAAAAAAAAATATTCTTCCATTTACTATTAGTAAGTTTATTTATTTCCTAAACTTTCGCACAGACCATGACCTGGTATATTTAAAATCCAAAGATTTCCTTCCATGGCTATGCTACGTGACCTCATTCAGAAGTTTAAACTGTTGTAGGTAGTCGATAAAAATTTACTTCCCGGATTCAAATTACCCATATTAAACGGAATGAACGGTTCAGTTTGGCTGTTTTATTGTTTTGGAGGATTTCTATTGTCCGGAAATATTGTTTTTGCTTATGGTAAGATTTGTTGTCAAATGAGTTCCTTCGAAACTTCTCTTTCTCTCTCTGTGAACGGAAACAGCGTAAATTAAATACTGCAGATCGCTAGATTTTAGAGTCCTCATTTTTGCAAAACATTACTGTAACTCTAACAGTGGGGCGAGAATAAATGTAGTAATGGTAGGTACACGTTGTAACAATATGTACCGTCACAAGTACATACATGTAAGAGGAATATTTTTTAAAATCCACTTTAAGGATTTATTTTTCCTACATTGAGTTAATAATAAGTTGAAAACAATTCTGAAAAGTTATTTCACCTGCATCTGATTTCCGCTCAAGTGAACATAATATTCAGGCACAAAGAATCGGAGAAGAGAAAGGGATTGTTCCCCCTTTTCTGAATGTAAATTTTACAATTTCTAGTTTGAAAACGTTCATTGGAAGTTCGTAACAACCCCCTCTTTCTTATACAGTGTAAAAAATCTCACCTGCTTGAGTGGACAAGATGAACATAGCATTTAGACACATAGAATCAGGGCTGGGGTGTCCTTCCACTTCCCTTTCGATTAACGTATTTTTAAAAAATATTTTGTTGCGCTTGAAAATGGTCATTGCAAGTCTGGTTGTCCTACCGCCAACTTTTTGATACAGTAGAGTAAAAGGAAACCCCCCTTACATCAATATTTTTTTTGAGGGATTCATCAAGATATTTCTAAGGTAATTTGTTATTTTGCCTCTTATAATGCGCCATTTCCCCTTTCGATGCTATGCCTGACATTTATTTTTTCTACATTGCACCAAAACTAGATTTCAAATGAAAAATTAATACTGGTTATGCTTATGTTAACTCCGATTCTTTCACTGTGCTTGGCTAGGACTGGAGCAAATGTAAACAAGAAACTTGATATGTCTGCTTAATCAGTTTGTATCAATTTAATCGTTGAATCATATAATAAAACAATTATTGCTGTTTTTTCTGTCAGGACGATCAGTGATTTTCCACCATCGAAAAACAATGCTTCCCTCGCCATTTGAGCTCGATAAATCGATTCTGAATCATTGCATTGACCTTAAAAACAGCAATAATTGTATAATGTAATGAGATCAACATATCATCGATTTATTCCCAATTTAGCTCATCAGTCATTCTACGATAAATGGACCAATTCAGAGTAAAAAACATGAAAAAAAAATTATTGTTTCAAATAGCAAAATGAACATCATAATTCTCTAAAGGACATATCAGTGAACTTGAAAACAAAGAATTGTCCACAAATCTGGTATCGTTAACTCTTTACAACAATTTCAAGATACCATTGCCTTTAAGGTAATGTTACGGAAGTTAATGCTTGATCAAGCATTATTATTTTTTTTAAATAAAGCTGAATTTGACTAATTTCTCGTTTCTGATGTTCAGTAAAGAACGCTGAGATATGATTCATGAAGTCTCGCATGAATCCGAATTTAAATTAAATTTTCTGGAAAAATATCGTTATGGAAGTTAATAGTTACGGAAGTTAATTCCCAGCAATAAAAGTTAAAAATTCTCTTCAATAGTTAAAATCAAAGTTTGTTTTAGAATATTAAACAAATGTATGAAGCATTTCGCTCCCAAAATGATAAATTTTTTTTATACCTTTTTTAATGCAAAATCTTTCCTGAATTACCGTTACGGAAGTTAAATTCTTTAGAGAGACAACTGTTTTTGTCCAATTCATTTTGTTATGTCTACAAAGTAATCGTCTATAATAGCTGACTCGCAACTAGAATCGATGATATAAGGTTCCGTGGTCACTTTCAGATAAGTTTAAGTTCTTTTTGAAATCATTCTATGCATGAAATTTAAAACAAAATCGTTACGGAAGTTAATCGAATTTTAGCGACATGCTTATGATTTCACATGAAAGGAGTGGTTTGATTTCTTTTTATACAGGATAAAAAACTTTTTTTAACATTCATTGCAATCTAGTCGGAAAGCTTTTACGGCTGAAAATTTCATCTTGAAATTTGTACATTAATGAAGCGACATTAAGATCTGCAGTGGAAAACGTTTTTCAACATTACCTTATGTTCATATCAAAACTTTAACTGCATATATATCGGTTAATATTTACTAAACCATGTGTGTATATTAAATCTTAGAGTTGAAATCGACCTTAATATTTATAGTTAAGATATTACAACGGTTAATTTGTAAGCGACATAAAAAAATCTTAATTGGTCATGTTTTTGTAGAATGACTGCCAAGTGAGCATTTTGGCCAACAGGTCTCTTTATTTATTATTATTATTTTGCCCCCTAAAAAATTCAACTTTAATCCGCTTAAATCCACAAGGGGTCATTATTCTACGGGGGCATTTTTCTTCACGGGGGGTATGCAGATTTTTAGGGTGATGACACTCTTTCTACGGACAAAGGGGTCATTTTTTGACGTCGAATAATGACCGGGGGTCATTTTTCGCTGTTAAATAATGACCGGGGTCATTATTCGACGGCGAGGAATAACCCCCGGTCATTATTCTATAGGAGTCATTATTCGTCTTTACACCGGCGACAATACGTGTCGATAGACAATAATATGTGAAGTGAGTATAGGTGCATACAGTCGCCAACAAACAATATGTATAAAACGACAATGTGGACCGTCAAAAGAATTTTTTATGGCAAGTTTGGTTGAAATTGGTCCAGTGGTTCTGAGAAAAAGTTGAAAATGTAGAAAGTTGACAGACGACACACGAAAGACGGACACCAGACAACCTTTAATAAGAAAATCTCAGGTAGCTAAATCCATTACTACTTTCACTCAGAAAAATATTATTTATATTTATTTTTGTGCTTCCTTTTTCTTTCGAAGATGGAAAATTCTCAATTACGCTTTTTTTTAAATAAAAGCTGAAACAGGCGGATACATAAAAGGAATTTCACTTTTTGGTAAAATACAATATGATCCATTGTCTCTGATAGTCGAGCGGATTTTTTTTTACTAGCAATAAATTTAACTCAAACATTTTGACCATATAATTTACATATTCAAAGATAATGTAATTATGAAATATACAATTTTGTATACAAAATATACAATTTCCTGTTTGTCCTGATAAGTTTCTGTCCTGTCGTCCGTTTCGTCCATTCCACAGGCTGGAGGAGGACTCTGCGGCCCAATAGTGGCCTCACTACTACTCACCATGATTGGAGGGTGGACTCAAAGCACTTGGTGGCCTCACTACTGTAGATTAACTTTGAAGTATGGATGGGTGGAACATCAGAAAAGCTGGACCATTACATACATCATTTAAAAATGGAACATTAGAGCAAGCACTGCAAGTTATACTCTTAACTCGTAATGCTGGATATATACAAAAACAAAAACAAAAAAACAACAAAAACAACAACAAGAAAAAAAAAAAAAAAAAAAAAAAAAAAAATAGACGTCAGAGGAGCTAAAGGCGACCTTCTCTCTGGATTGCCTTGTCAAAACTAATCTTGTACGAACTGGCGGGTTTTAAAGTCCAATGAATTGAAGTTCAGTAAGGAATATTTACAATGATACTCATTTTAAAAAGAAAGGGTTCCCCAGTAGATATTTACATGAAATTCAAATTTCAATGTGACATCCATTTAAGGGTTTTTTCCCTTAATGACTGTACAAAAATGTTCTTTTTTTATTTTGCAGAAATTCTTCTTAATTTAACTAGTTATCTAATTTAACTAATTGGAATTTAACGTGGTTTCATTACATTTCATCATGTTGGCTTAAGTATAAATAACACATTTTGTTTTTCAGAAGTCAGCAATAGATTGAAAAGATTTACCTTCATATGGATAACTTAAAAATGTTTCCTACCTAAAATGACCGTTCACGGTAGCTCAGTCGGTAGAGCGCTCGCTCCGTGATCGGAAGGTCGTGAGTTCGAATCTCGGCCGCGACTGACCTAAGTCGATAAAAAATGGGTAGCAACTGTTCCTTCGCCATGCGCTCGGCACTTTGAAGTGAAAGTTGCGGGTCCTTCTGATGAGACCTTAAAAACCGAGGCCCCGTGTCACGGCAGGCGTTGGCACGATAAAGATCCCTCACTGCTCAATGGCCCTGAGTGCCGAGTAAAGGTCAAAATTTGAAGCCCTTCACCGGTATATGGTGACGTCTCTATATGAGTGAAAAATTCTCGAATGGGACGTAAAACAACATACAATCAACCTACCTAAAATGTAGAAATGTAAAAATGTTGTAATAATGTCATAAAATGTGTGCTAAACTTTGTATAGATTTATACAGAAAATAGCACAATGTCGCATTTGAACACCAAAAAATACATGTGCTTACAATTTCTTTTTTATTTTACGAATGTATTATATATGTTATTTATTTTCAAAATAAGTCAAATCCATACATCAAGTTTTTGTTTGTGTTATGTTACCTTAACAACTTTCTTCTTAAAACCCTAAGATAAAAAAATCACAAAAGATAATTTACATCAAATATGGTATGAATTTGTAGTTTCGATTTTCTAGATATTTTTTTGTTTAATATATACATATATGATATGTTTTACTATGTAAAAGAATAACTAAAAAGAGAAAAAAAGGCAACCACTTTCACCTCTTGCCCCCTCCCATTTCCTTCTAAACTGGCACAGCCTCTTGTTTGATGCTTGTGTTTGACAATTATAGAAATAACGTTAATATTTATTGAGGTACATGTAACATAGTGGTAGGGCGTTCGCTTCGTTATCGGGAGGCCCAGGTTCGATTCTCGTTCGTCGCGTCGCGTCAAACTTACGACGTAAACATAGTTACAGTAAAGTGACTGTTTCTTCTTCCCCAAGAACCCGACACTAGAATGAAAGTCACGGGGTCTTTCGGATGAGACATTAAAAACCAAGATCTCGTGTCACAGTAGGCGTTGGCACGATAAAGAATCATCACTGATCAATGGCCCTGAATGCCGAGTATAACTCCAAATTTGAAGCCCTTCACCGGTATATGGTGATGTCTCTATATGAGTGAAAAAATCTCGAATGGGACTTAAAACAACATACAATCAATCAATCAATCAGTCATATTTATTGAGTATCAATTGTGTACATTATTGTGCGCCATTCTACCAAGCCTTAAAAATATAAGCAGCCAGCAGTTCCATATATACTGGTTTACAAAATTGTATATATCAGTGTACACGTAAAATCCTCATAGAGGAAAAGAAAGCATAAAGACCAGCGCTTCCTTTTGAAAACTGAGTCTATGATAAATGTTAAAGAATATTTTGCTTTCCTAAATCCTAAAATTCCTTATACTGGTCTCAACATATATTATAGTTAATGTATTGGGTAATTTTTAACATTGGATTTGAAACTTTAAAAAAATATATGTTTTTGGAATAATTCTTCACCTTGTAAAATAGTAAGCATCAGGGGACATAAAACGTAAGGTATTCAATGTATATAATGAAGGAATTTTCAACAATTTTGAATCATCTTAAACTAGTTAAAATGAATTGCTAGATAACGATGAAAGTGAAATGAACCAAATTCAAATGACAGATAACATGTAAGAAGCCGGTCATTTTGCACCTTAAAAGTTTTTGAAGAGTTATCTGCCCTTGATGAAAAGAAGAAAATTTTAATTGTTTCAAAATATCTATAGTGAATGATTTATTTTATTTCATATTATAATAAAGAGAGAGTTTATACATATATTTACCAAGAGATTTGTATGAACTTCAAATTACTTTAATTTACAATATCTTAATAGCACATGCGCTGACCATAGACTTCAATGTTAACTTCAAGGTACAATTAATTGTACAGTAATCAGAATATGGTAAATTCCTTTAATGGAGTATTTTTGTTTGATAAAACCTTCAAAATGCTACCATGACTAAAAATATCGGACCATTCATTTATTAGGTATAAAAAATGTTCGTTATACATTGAATACCTTAATCCAATAATAGGATGTTTTTCTACAGAATAGTTTCATTTTTATTTACAGACAACATTGCATTAGGTAAGCTTGCCTGGCAGCAATATCAGTATCGTACCCAACCATGGGGAGCGGATAAAGCAGTGGATGGGCTGTATTCAGTCAGGTCAGCTGCAGGAGGACAATGTACAATATCGGGGAATCAAAAACAAACTGCAACCTGGAGGGTTGATCTAGGAGGAGTACTCAGTGTACATCATATAACTATCTACTTCAGGACGGACGATGTAGCGTGGAGTACTGTATAAAGCGCTAGTTTAAAAATTAATTTTAAAAATAAATATTGTAATGAAGTTGCACAAATCCATTTTGCATTCCCTTTCTTCTTAGAGACGTCTAACACTGTAATCCACTTTTGATATGTGTATCTGTGAAAATTAGTTTTTATTGTGTGTCTCCCTGTATAAAACATAATTATCAATTTTTAAAATTAATTTTATATACTGTAAATTAGTGAAATAATCAATGTTGAATTTCTTGAATATAAGAAAAACTTTTTTCTTATATGCGTTTTCTGCGATAATCTTGAATTCACGATAAATATGTGTAAAGATTTACATTTATAGTGAAATGAGCGTTTTCTGTACCACACTTAGCAATATTTGTTAGATAAATGTCCGTTGGAAAGGAAGTACTCAACAAGTTATACATGTGGATATTTCTCTTTTGTGCTCGCTATTGAGCTCAGTGGAAAGTTCATAAGTAATAGATATGATTAAAAAAATCAAAACGGCTTTGGAAACAAAGAAATACGAAATAATTCTAGTTTGGTTGAATTTTTGAGCTTTTTAAAATAAAAGTTTAATGTGTCAAGTATGACTGTAAATTCTGTAATTTTGGTTTTAGGCAGTCAGTGTAAAAAAAAAATTCTTAAAATTTCACATTATTTCTCGAAAAAAAAAACAAAAAACAATTTGATTTCCAGGATGAAAATTTTAAGTGAAATCTTATCTAAGACATTAAATATTAAAATGGTGCCGTTGAGAATAATCCTCTTTGCATTTGGAAACTTACATGTTTTTGACAATATTACATCTACATGTAGATAACAGACGTTTGATTACTTTTCTCTAGACGAAAATAATGGATACACGGACCACTTGCTTGGTTTCTCGATTTACATCTCAAACACAACCAACAAAGATGATGGCTATCTATGTTTTAAAGACACTAACTACACCAAGGCTACAGTACCGAATACTACTACAATAGAATGTATAAACCACGGACAGTACGTCATCTACTACAATGAGAGACTTTTTGGAGTTACCTACCCTGTTGGATATTCCAAGTACGCATATAACGAGCTCTGTGAACTTGAAGTTTATGGTAAGAAACACAACACAACAATAAAGTTCGGTAAACATGTAGGTATATTTAGATTATATATCTAATGGAATAAATTTTAAAGCAGAAAGATCTTTTATGGGACCTTGGGTCGATCTTCCAAACCTTATCAATCAGAATATTTTTTATGTCCTGTTAATGCAACAGTATAAAATATCAGAGAATAGTCACTGAAAAAGGATGGATTTTCAGTCGACGGAAAAGTAGGTAAATGGTAAATAAAATATCACAAAAAAATTAACTAGAAGGAGTGATGTTTCAGTGGTCATTTAGTCACCTTAATTGCAGATATATTTCAGAGGCCTTTCGGGTATTTTTTACCTGTTTCTATTTTACCTTATATACTTGATAATTTTTTTGGATAAATTTCCTATTGTAATGGTAGTAGAAAATCTAATTGTGTCGATAAAAAAGTCTTTTTAGCATTTTTCTTTTACACAGAGAAATAACGTTATAACGATGTGACGTTTTAGATTGACAGTGACTTTCTTAACGATGTGTTTTACGTTTTGACACTTGCGTTTGCTGTAGTTTGACTTTTATCAATCCTGTCAATAATTGTAAGTGAAATACAGCCAAGAATTTTAATTGAGTCCCATTTTCTGAACTAAAATGGTTTAACGTAGGTCGCGGGTTTGCGGGCCTTTTAAAAGTGTCCGAAAACATACCATGAAAATTAGTTATATGAATCCTCTACCTTTGTTTTACATTCTCTGAGAATTTTATAAAATTCGTCTGCATCGTTTTTATGTAATTAAATCCCAAACATGCCATCGTTGTAGTAACATTTTCGACGTTATTGTATTGAATTATATAGGAAAAACGTCGATTTCGGCTCGTTTTCAGGCAAGATTTCTTTTAAAAAAATTTCATTAAGTTTTAAATGGTGGAGACGAAATTGTTTCCCCTTTGGTATCTTAAAATAGAAATGATTTGAAATAAATCTATGTGAAAAAATTAATATGTCTTCGGGTTTATTTTCTCGTAATTATGTTCCCCAAACGAAGTTTGGGAACATATTGTTTTTACTCTGTTTCTTATTATTATTATTAAGGTCTTCCGTCTTCACGGAAGACCTTATAGTGATTCTACTGTTTCTTATTATTATTATTATTATTATTATTATTATTATTATTATTCTTTTTTTTGACCAAATTTTGTGCACGCGATTTCTCGAAAAGTATTCAGTCGTTTTCAATGAAACTTTCAGGAAAAGTCAGTCATTGTATGAACTTTGTTCATCACAAGGAAAATTTGGAAAATTCCATTTTGGTTCCAAGTTATGGGCAATTTCCTGATTTTAAAATGAAATTTTGTCGCCCCTTTTTCTCAAGAATGGCTAAAGATATGAACTGGAGACTTATTAGAGAGCATAGAACGTGACTTCTAAATTTGCAGAATTGCCTTTCCGTTCGTCGTCGGCACTTCCGGTCGTCACAGGAAGTGATCAAAGAAATCGTAAAATTTCAACTTTCTTTTTTTAAATCAATATTTACATCACATTATTGCATCTCTTATGTAGTTTCGAAATATGTTGGTCCCACTGGAAACAAAAACGTTAACTTCCCGTTATAAGAGAAAAACTACATAATTTTAGTATTTTTCTTTCCCATTAATATCCTTTGTAGATAAAGTATTTGAAATGAATTTTAAATATGTTATTTAGACTGCAAATATCTAGAGTCACGTCAAATTTCTTTGTAAAATTCACTTCCGGTCGCGTGTTTTCCTGTCCTCAAAATGAGAAGTTCTCTGAGCAAGATCTCGGAAACGGTGAGAGATTAAGACATCAAACTTATATGAGCAACAGACCTTAAGATGTAGGCAAAAGCATTTGGGTTCAGAGCGTCAGCCGTCACTTCCGGTCGTTACAGGAAGTGATCAAAGAAATCGAAAATTTCAACTTTTCTTTTTTTAATTAAAAATTGCATCACTTTATTGCATCTTTTTCGCAGATTCGAAAGATGTTGGTCTCACCGGAAACAAAAGTGACAACTTCCGGTTATAAGAGAAAAGCTACATAATTTGAGTATTTTACTTTTCCAACAATATTTTTTCTAGAAAAAGTATTTGAAATGAATTTTAAATATGTTATTTAGACTGCAAATGTCTAAAGTAATCGTAAATGTCTTTCAAAAATTCACTTCCGGTCGCATGTTTTCCTGTCCTCAAAATGTGAAGTTGTCTGAGCGAGATCTCAAAACCAAACGCGTCAGTCGTCACTTCCGCTTGTCACAGTAAGTGATCAAAGAAATCTAAAAAAAAATTAACTTTTCTTTTTTTAAATTAATGCTTGCATCACTTTATTGCATCTCTTTCGCTGTTTGGAAATATGTTAGATTCCACCGGAAACAAAAACGTCAACTTCCGGTTTTAGGAGATAAACTACTTTACTTTGATATTTAACTTTCTCATAAATATTGCTCATCGATAAAGTACTTGAAATGACTTTATGTATGTTGTATATACTGCAAATGTCTAGAGAAAAGTCAAAGATTTTTATAAAATTCACTTCCGGTCTCGTGTTTACCTGTCCTCAAAATTAGAATTTGATCTCACAATATTGCTCGGCAACAGTAAACGACTGAAGTCTAAAACTTTCAGGACTGATGGTCAGTCATCAGTTATATGAATCGTGAGAAAATCTTGTATCGCCGTTACTTCCGGTACTTCCGGTCGTGACCGGAAGTGATGTAAAAAATGAATGGTTAACGTTAGCAAGTTGAATTTTCACGCTGACGACCAGGGTTAAATTTCCAGAGTGTCTGAATTTCTTTTATCTCTTTTTCAGCTTGAATTTTTGTTTTTATTTTCAGAATCGGACGGAAGACCTCTCATTGCTCGCAATGAGTTTCTAGTTATTAAGTCTTCCGTTCACAACGGAAGACTTATAGTGATTGTATTGTTTCTTTTTATTAAGGTCTTCCGTCTTCACGGAAGACCTTATAGTGATTCTACTGTTTCTTATTATTATTATTATTATTATTATTATTATTATTATTCTTATTTTTTAGACAAATTTTGTGCACGCAATATCTCGAGAACTATTCAGTGGTTTTTCATCAAACTTTCAGGGATAATGCGCTTTCAAATGCCATTGTTACATTTGAAAGAGTTTTGGAGAAATTCTCTTCCAGTTCCAAGTTATGGACATTTTTCTGATTTTGAAATGAAATTTTATCCGCGCGAGATCTAAAGAACGGCTATAGATATGAACTGGAGACTTGTTGGAGAGCATAGAACATGACTTTTAAATATGCGGGTTTGCCTTTTCGTGCGTCGTGAGTACTTCCGGTCGCTACCGGAAGCGAATTTAAAAAGTCAATTTTTTCAACTTTTTGGTTTTTCAATATTTTTCTTTGATTTTTATAGGGGTAATAGAAACTCTTATTGTCATGCGTAATTTTTAATTTGTTTTTAAAACTGTCCACCAGAAGACATTTTAAAAATAGATTTTTTAGTCAAATTTTGTGCACGCAATATCTCGAGAACTATTCAGTGGTATTTCATCAAACTTTCAGGGATAATGCGCTATAAAATGCCATTGTTACATTTGAAAGAATTTCGGAGAAATTCGCTTCCGGTTCCAAGTTATGGACATTTTTCTGATTTTGAAATGAAATTTTATCCCCGCGAGATCTAAAGAACGGCTAAAGTTATGAACTGGAGACTTGTTGGAGAGCATAGAACATGACTTGTAGATATGCGGGTTTGCCTTTTCGTGCGTCGTGAGTACTTCTGGTCGCTACCGGAAGCGAATTTAAAAAGTCAATTTTTTCAACTTTTACGTTTTTCAATATTTTTCTTTGATTTTAGTAGGGTTATATTCCTTTATAGATGCAAGTTACCAAACATAATAGGTATCAGATTCCTTAAGCGTCATATGGCGAGACGTGTTTTGTTGCAAAACATTCCAGTCTTTTCATTAATGTTTCACTAATTGGAATAATCCACTTTGGGGGTAAAGAGGAATATGAAATGTGTAAGAAAACTTAGCGCTGCCTTTATGTTACTTGCCCGTATACGATATGTTATATGTACAGTGTGATAAATAAACATTCTTAGGCTCGAAAATCAGGCTATAGCAACATATATTTTTTTAATTTCATTGAAGCTATCACGTACACTTATTCAATTGAAGACACATTTCAAAGAAAAGGCGCGAAGATTTACTCGTGAAGTTTGGCGCGAAATAATGTATCGTGACCCGCCTTTCACAAATGGTCTGATGCAGTAGTGTAGAAGTACAGAAAAAGATTACACGGACATGTCTGTATTTGGAATTGCATAGAATAGAAAGTTGAATGCATAAAGAAAAAAGGAAGTAAACACAATAGTTTTTTTTTTTTAGTTTTTATTAGTAACAGATTATTTTCTCTGCTATCAGTTATTGTTAAAACTCAAGTAACAAATCCGATGTAAATCTATTAGCACTTGCACAAAATTTAGCTGGCTAATTTTCATCCTATAATTCCACACTAGAAGAAAAAAAATTAACCTGTCTGACACTCGTTACTTCAGGGAAAGAGTGCAAGGTAAACATCGATGATGGCTGGTACATTGCGCTAGTGTAGTGGTTTCAATATTAAAGAACAAGGTTCACTTAGGGCCTTTTTTGGCCCTGTGAACTCAGAAAAACTGAAACTGCTTCGTTTTAGTTGACAATGCATTAAATTTCATTTAGACCTTTGATGACTGCGTATCTATAAAAAATGACGTAATTTTCTGGCTTGCATATGCATTAAGACGTCATGAAATGCGTCATTTTCCTCATATCCTGAAAATTTCTACAAAACAGCCAATTTTTAAAGCTATTTTTCGATATTTAATATAGGGCGTAACCTCTGATCTTAAATATGCAACTATTAAATGATAGTACTATTTCTGAGGATTACAAAACCTGTTTTATTTTTCAGATCAGAGGGTGCGCACATATTATTTCTCTTCTGTGAAAGTACTTAAATATACTTGTTTTCCTTAAA